AGGGGATCTCGATACCGGTTTGTCCTGTCTCTTTTAATTTTCCTTTTCCATAAATGACAGCTCTTTTTTTTATTGAAATGGCTATTGTCATTTTAGGTAGGACAGCCGGTGATCATGAGCCCTCAGCTCCTACACACGTTGAAACGTGTGATAGGCCTGCGCATGTTCGACCCGTTGGCCCTCGGAGGGTGGGTGCTCCGAAGAGGAAGAAGACTGCCCATAAGCCCCATGACGGTCAGCGTCCCTATGGAGTGGACTTAGGGAGCACCGCTGATGGAGGGGGAGGTAACATTCAATTGCTCTTGCTTCAAGGTTGTTTACCTTTTGGGGATTTGTGACCATGTTTTGTGCTCCAGGTTTCTTCGAAGAGGGCGAACTCCCACCGGGTTCGGCGTCCCCTGGTGTTGACAACATGGATTGCTTTGTGCAACAAATGTGCGATGCTCTTCACGACGGGTCTTTGGGCATCGACCTTAACATCGATCTTGACCCGCAGTCCCTTATTCAGGTATATCCACATTCAATGTCATTTTCCTCAAGCATGGGGAAGGAAGACTTCCCGTTTTTGCTGAAAGTATCTCCTCGAGCTTTCCTCATCTTTCAACACTCAGGTTACCCTGCAGATGTTGTGATGGAGGGGCCAAGCTTCTCGAAGCCGGATGCCGGCTTATTAGCTGACATGTTGGCTGAGCAGACTTCCAGAGGGACCGAGAGACCATTCTTTGGGAATGATTCATCTATCGGTACATATCTGGTTCTTCTCCTCTTGCCCGATCTTTTATTTGACTAATGAATAATTGATTATCGCAGCGTCAACCATTGGAGTTAGTGTTGTACCCACTTTTATTGCTTTAAGATGATTTACCTTCCGGGATCCCTGATCCTGTTTCATAATTCAGGGTTCTTCGAGGAGGGCGAGCTTCCACCAGGTCCGGTATTCTCTGGGGCTGACAACATGGACTGCTTCATGCAGCAGGTGTGCGACGCCCTTCGTGATGGCTCCCTGGGCATTGATCTGAACATCGATCTTGGGCAGGCAGATGGTGTTGATCCCACCGGTTCATTTTCAGATATACCTACATCCGGTGCTGCAGGTGTTGCGACAGAAGGGCCAGACGGGGATGGGGCCTCCCCTATTGCAGATTTCGAAGAGCAGGGATATGTTCCTGCACCGGTCTTCCCGAGACCTGACTCTGGACTGTTAGCCGATATGTTAGCTGAACAAGCTCCCACCGGGACTGTGAGACCACTCTTTGAGAGTGATTCATCCACAGGTATATATCCAATTTCCTCTCTTCTTTGCTTGTCTCAGTCTCCATTTTGACTAATAAAGAAGTGCAACTATATGACCAGGCGCTGTACCTGATTCTGCTATAGCTTCGGGTGTTTTCCCGCCTTCGCCTAATACGACTGACTTGCCCACGAGGGTTGATATACCTTCCATGAGCATTCCTGTCGTTACTTCGGAGCCTGTCGAACCCCAACCCGAGGGGATTTCCGCCGGTATAGGTATACCTCGAATTTCCCTTAGGGTCTTTTCGATTGTATTTAATAGTTTCTTGACCTCCCATACTGCTGCTTGCAGGTTCTCGACCGTCTCTATATGAGCAGGTCCATGCTCTCTTGGCCGATACCAATCCAGATGGGGATGTCTTCCGCACTGACCTCGGCTTCTTTACTGCCTTTTATAACGGCGTGATTGATAAGCTTCTGCACAGAGGGTCTTCTTTTGATCAGTTCAGGCGTTCCTTCTCCCGTCACATGATGATGATGAGGGAAGAGGGATATCCGGATTTGGCCGATTCCTTTACAGCTGATTTCGCTGCCCTGGAGTCAGAGATTCGAGAGCTGAGGGAGTTGAAGGCTGGTGGAGCTCCCTCTTTTGCATCTTCTCAGGTGGAGGATAGGTTGACGCAGTGGCATGAACTGCGATCTTCCGTTGGCAGCGAGCTTCGATCACGTGAGCGCACTGTCGAGCAGCTGATGGCCTCTCTGGCGAGGAAAGACACCAGCAGAGCTGAGTTAGTGAGCTCCTTAGATTCCACTCGTGCAGAGATAGCTAGACTGAAGGAGGCCTTGGAACGCGCCGAAGAATCTGCCGCTACCATTTCTGAGGAACTGGTTGGGTTGGAGCGTTCTCGTGAATGGACACTCGACAGGCTGGGATCAGCGCAGGAGGGGTTGATGAAGCTGCGACACGAAGCCGCAGAGGTTCTCAACAGTTCCGAAGATTCTGTCCGAGCTAGCCTGCAGGCGGAGTTCGAGCAGGACTATATGGACAGGCTCTCTGGTTTAGAGTCTCATATTCTTAGCCGTCGGTTGCCTTCGGACTAACGAGTTTTTGTTGTATGCTTTTGACTTGATTTATTAATAGAAAATCCGCATTTGCTTCTTTTGTGTTTTCTCTGTATCTCTTCCGAATGACAGATTTATGGGATTTTTGGCAAACCCCCAGCCATCAACGGGTTTGATGTGCCTTTACCGATCACCGTTTGAATCGGGCTAGCATGTGGATTGTCTAGATCCGTTCCACATGTAACGTTGTGCTAAGAGAGTAAACTCTCTGAGGCTTTGTGCTATGATCTTGAATACATAGGCTTCGTCTTTCTCACGGGAATAGACTACCCGGCAACGCGTGTTAGGCGTTGACTTTGGGGTTTTTGGCAAACCCCCAGCCTTCAACGGGTTTGATACGCCTTTACCGATTACCGTTTGAATCGGGCTAGCATGCGGATTGTCGAAATCCGTTCCGCATGTAACGTTGTGCTAAAGGAATGAACTCCCTTAGACTTAATGCTACGACTTCGAATACGTAGACTTTGCCCTTGTCACGGGAATAGGCTACCCGGCAACACGTGTTAGGTGTTGACTTATCCCTACTTAGGATTCGGGATAAAATTCCCCATGCACCAAGTGCGCGGATTGGAAGTTGAAAGTTGTGTCAAAATAGGAGAGGAAGAATTTTATATTCTATCTCCCGGTGCTAAAGAGGAAGAATTTTATATTCTATCTTCAGCTGGAAAAGAAACTCGAGGTGGGATTCTCCACCCCCAGTATCTGGAAGGATGAACTGGGAATGGGATCTCCACTCCGAGCACCCGGAATGATGAACTGGGAGTGGGGTCTCCACTCCGAGCATCGGAAAGGTCCGAGGAGAGGAAGAATTTTATATTCTATCTCCCGGTGCTAAAGAGGAAGAATTTTATATTCTATCTTCAGCTGGAAAAGAAACTCGAGGTGGGATTCTCCACCCCCAGTATCTGGAAGGATGAACTGGGAATGGGATCTCCACTCCGAGCACCCGGAATGATGAACTGGGAGTGGGGTCTCCACTCCGAGCATCGGAAAGGTCCGAGGAGAGGAAGAATTTTATATTCTATCTCCCGGTGCTAAAGAGGAAGAATTTTATATTCTATCTTCAGCTGGAAAAGAAACTCGAGGTGGGATTCTCCACCCCCAGTATCTGGAAGGATGAACTGGGAGTGGGATCTCCACTCCGAGCATCGGAAAGGTCCGAGGAGAGGAAGAATTTTATATTCTATCTCCCGGTGGAAAAGAAACGAGAGAGGAAGAATTTTATATTCTATCTCCCGTTGCCGAAGAGGAAGAATTTTATATTCTATCTTCAGGCGGAAAGGAAACTCGAGGTGGGATCTCCACCCCCAGAATCCTGCAGGATGAAACTAAGAGTGGGATCTCCACTCCGAGAATCGGAAAAGTTCGAACGACACTACCTTTTATAGGATTGGTCATTTGAACCCAAAGAACCCCTCATTCATTGAGGAGAAGACCCAATTTCAACCCTAACTTTTATAGGTTTGGTGGAAAAAGGGGACAAAGGTGGATTTTCGTTTATCGAAAAGGAGTGACTCGACTTTAGTCTTGACCATGTGTAGGCTTGACTAAGCGAGATCGGAAACAATCCTAACTTTTATAGGTTTGACTGTTTCAAGTGGACCTCTCGTTCATGGAAGGAATCGAGAGGGGATTTTGGCTTTGGTCCTAACTGTAGGAAGGTTTGACCAAACTGGAGTTTGAGATACGCCAATGACTGGCAGATGGAAATGTTGATGGGTCCACTGTCGTTTGATTTGATCAGCGGATGGTTTGGTGAGGAAAGATTAACCTATCAGAGGATTAGATCTCATCTCACAAAAGTAACTCATAAGAGTTGGAAAATTTGATGGGAATAAGAAGAGACATTCTGAGCTTCAGCGTTCGAATGCAGAGTTCTTATTCGTCAATTCCACAATGACCGGGTTATCCCTAAGAATACCCATGTGGTATTCTTCCGGGAACTTCCCGATGCATTGGTTATCCAAAAAGATACTAAGGATAGTATCTTTTCAGGAATTTGCCGTTTATCGGCATCATGAGCCGGCCGCCGTCTTTGGTGACGAGGCGATAGGCGCCACTCGAGTAGACTGTCTCTACCACGAATGGTCCCTCCCATTTGGGTTCGAATTTACCCTTTTTCTTGGAGTTAAGGATCATAGGCCGTTTCGCAGCTAGAACCAAATCTCCTTCTTTGAAACTCCTTTGTCGAACCTTTTTGTCGAAGGCTCGAGAGATTCTAGCTTGGTAAAATTCGATATGCTGTTGAGCTTCCAGGCGCTCTTCATCAAGCCTCTCGAGTTCTTCGAGGCGTTTCTGATGTTGTTCTTCGGTCGACATCTGGGTTGAAAGAGCGATCCGAAGAGATGGTATTTGGATCTCCAATGGAAGAACAGCTTCACATCCGTATACCAGTGAATACGGGGTCGCTCCCGTTGGTGTGCGCACCGTGGTCCGATAGGCCCATAGAGCTGCGCCAAGCTTGTCATTCCAGTCTCGTTTGTTAGTTTTCACGATCTTTGACAAGAGTTTGATGATGGTCTTGTTGAAGGCTTCAGCTAATCCATTCGCTGTAGGATTATACGCCGTCGACGAGATGTCCTGAATTTTAAACTTTTCGCAGAACCTTATGAAGGCGTTGCTGACAAACTGAGGACCGTTGTCATGTATGATTCGTCTTGGAACACCATACCTATAGATGATGTGGTGCTTGATGAATCCAATGACGTTGCTCGTCTTAACTTCTCTGAGTGGAATTGCTTCGGCCCATTTGGAGAAGTAATCGGTAATCGCCAAGATGAACCGGTCGCCTTTGACTGACGGAGGATTTATAGGACCAACAATGTCCATTCCCCAAGTCTCGAACGGCTATGACGTAACCGAAGGATGCAGATGCTCCGGAGGTTGGTGTACGTAATTCCCGTGCACTTGACATGCATCACACTTTCGGGCATATGCAATCGCA